ATGTGGGGTATCGTTGGATAGGTCTTTCAAAAACACTGAGCGTGTGGAACGTCATCCTTTCGATTCAGGGATCCGTTTGCGAAATATTTAGCTTTAAAGTGGTATTTTTCATTAGAGTCATGTGCCTCTACCAACTAAACCGCTGTTTTTGGAAATGTGAAATGTATACTCAATAGTAGTATATATAATGAAGTTAAAAGGAAAACTATCACAGCTAATTAAAATTAAGAAGTTAACGAGTAATAGTCGACCAACTTATAAAATACACTTGGATTAGCAAAAATTTCGTTACAACTCCATAGAAAATGACCTAAAACTAGCTGCATTAACCGAAACGATACGGTATTAACATTAATGGCAAACTACATCACTCACTTTCGATTTGCCGACGATATAGTCGTTATGGCCGAATCGCTGGAGGACCTAAGCACTATGCTCAATGAACTCAATAGTGCCTCTCAATGGGTAGGTCTTAAGGTGTCCACCTTAAGACCTACCCATGTGGACAAAACAAAGATCATGTGTAACGTCCATGAAACAGAAACAGAAACAGAAACTTTTTTATTCAATATAGATTATAAATAATACTTATTGAAAGTCACTCTTTTGTATAATTACCACTGGTTCGAAAAAAAACCTATGTCCTGGGAGGAACCAGCAAGAAACCCAGCGGGACTTTTTTTTAAATAACAGCTTACAATCATGTATGTTACACAAATTAATAACACAACAAATTAGAAATAGCTTGGTAGCGATCACCTCATTTCCAGGGGTTATTGTCATTTATAAATTCTTTAATATTATAATAACCCTTTTTATACAAACTTAGTTTAATAAAGTTTTTGAACTTTGAGCAGGTCAAATTTTGTATATTTTCTGGAATTTTGTTGTAAAAGCGCCCTAAGAAGGAATTACTGACTCGATGGAGTCGAGTAACTGGTACTACTAGCTTGTGTCTGTTCCTAGTATTTATAGAATGAATATCACTTATTTTTGTAAAACTACTTTTATTTTTGTGTACGTACATTACATTTTCATAAATGTATTGAGAGGCCAAAGTTAATATATTAATTTCCTTAAATTTTAGTCGCAGCGACTCTTTAGGCTTTAAATCATAAATTGCTCTTATGACCCTATTCTGTAAAACAAATATAATTTCAGTGTTAGCTGCGTGTCCCCATAGCAAAATACCATACGACATTATGCTATGGAAATAGCTAAAGTAAACTAGTCTAGCTGTTTCAACACTAGTTAGACTTCTAATCTTTTTTACGGCATATGCTGCAGAGCTAAGTCTGCTTGCTAGTTATAATATATGGGGGCTCCATTGAAGCTTCGCGTCTAGTGTGATTCCAAGAAAAATGGTGGTGGAAAAGACTCAGTTTCTCGCCATTTAAAATTACATTAGTATTTAATTGTTTGACATTTGGAGTCATAAATTTCATACATTTCGTTTTAGTACCATTTAAATGCAAATTATTAACATTGAACCAATTTACTAATTTAGATATAGCATTATTTACTTCGTCATATTTTAGCAATTGTCGACTTAATTTGAAAATTAAAGAAGTGTCATCTGCAAATAATACTATGTCATGGTTATCTCCTACTAAGTAAGATAACTCATTAATTTATACAAGAAACAGAAAAGGACCGAGAGTTGAGCCTTGAGGCACGCCCATTTGTACCATCGACCCGGAAGAACTCATGCTGTTAATGACAACTTTTTGCGTTCTCATACTTAAATATGAAATAATTAATTTAAGAGCATCACTTCTTACACCGTAGTGTTGAAGTTTCCTGATTAATGTTTCATGGTGAACACAATCGAAGGCTTAGGATAGGTCACAAAATATACCCAAAGCATCCTGTGAATTCTCCCATGCATTAAATATATATTTAATCAGCTCAATACCGGCATCAGTTGTCGAGCGACCCCTTGTGAAATCAAATTGATTTTTATGAAGTAAATTATTTATATTAAATAAATTTAACATTTGATCAAAAATAATTTTTTCAAAAATCTAAAATTACTAATTACTAAAATAGATCTAAAATTGGCGGGATCTAATGTACTACTAGATTTAAATAAAGGTATTACATGTCACTCCGATGCCGGTAGTTGTTGGGAGCACTAAGCTCGAAGTTGTTGACGAGTATGTTTACTTGAGACAAATAGTCCGACTAGGCAAGTCCAACTTCCTCTCAGTCGAAGTTCGGCCGAATGAGGAAGCTCAAGGTCGCTCAGCGAGCTATGAAGAGGGTTATGCTCGGGGTTTCCGCAGAGTATCCGCAGTAGAACCAGAGTGACCAACATAGCCCAACGGATTAGTAAGTTGAAGTGGCAACGGGCCGGTCATATAGCTCGAAGAACCGACAACTGATGGGGAAAAAAGGTTCTGGAGTGGCAGCCTTGTACCGGTAGGCGAAGTGTAAAGCGATCCCCACTAGATGGAGTGACGAACTGGTAGGACATGCGGGAAGTCGATGAATACAGATGGCCCGTGACCGTGCTTTGTGGCATTCCTTGGGGGAGACCTATGTTCAGCAGTGGACTTGTGAAGGGCTGTAATAATAATAATAATGATGATGATGACTAATACTTAAGAACAGTTGACAGCAAGTATTTTAATTGATGTAATAGAAATTTTAATTTAATCTAGCCTGTATTAAGATAGATCTAAGATCTGGAGTACTATAAGTACGCGCTTATGGACGCCACTGAAGTTCGTTGTGTGAACATTAATATTTAAATAACACATACATACATACATTAAATGAAACTGATTTTTACGGATTTTATTGCGTTGAATTTAACTTTTTAATTACCGACCTTTCGGGTGCTTTACAGCACCCATGGTCACGGGGATACTGAGGTGTTTGACGTCCCGATGTCATAGTTAGCCCAGCTACCAGGGGCGTAGCTACCGCCGCATCAGCCGTATCAATGATACGGGGTCCCTGGGCTACAGGCGCCCCGAACGTGTGTAAGCAAAAATTCCAAGGACTTCTATGGGACAGGATGTTGGTTTGAATTGTATGGCTAGCTTAGTTCCTAGGGTTATTAATTGTAAGTAAGTTCAATATGTAATTATTTTAATTCAATGCGAGAGTTTTTGTTCCTTTTGTGAAAAATCTTTACCCTTCATTTGGGCCCCCCGACAATTTTTGATACAGGATTTAAGGCACGCTACTCCACTGCCAGCTACCTTCAGTTTTTGAATATTAATTTTGGTCCGATATACGCAGAATGAGCTTACAGTATCTTGAAGTCTTGCAGTGGTGTGCTTGGGCTTGGATTTAATTTAATAATTATAGGATTCCAAGCAGATGGCAGTACCCATCCATCTTCTCTATTGAAATTAGGATGTTTTTTTTTTTAATTTCAATAGCCTCGCGAATCATCCTTGATAGGAATCGGTGTCCTTTTGCGAGGATTTGTGGTCTATCAAATCTAATATAATGGCGGGGACGATCTTGAACATATTCACAAACTGCAGACTTATTAAAAAGTTAAGTTAAACGCGATAAAATCCGTAAAAAATAGTTTCATTTAATGTGTAGTGTTCGCGTAAATATAAGAAATCATTACATACATACATACTCGACCACCTTCGGCCAAAAAACCACCGAAGGTTTTTAGCGAGCTCCGAAATTGAACGAACTGTTAAAAATTAGCGAGAGCGCGGTGGACGTGGCAACACAATTTTTATTATTTGTAGGTCAACTTCTAGAGATGATTATAATTACAGTTGCACTTTATTCAGGTGGACAGTTCTCCCATGTGTAGCTACTAGTATAAAAATGTCTGCCCTATCTAATATCTCATTGAATTCGGAGTGCGCGTCTGTGGCAGTTTATCCAGGTGGATAGTTCTCCCATGTGTAGGGTTGCTAGCTCCTGTTTCATATTTTAGGGGATTTGATAAATAATATTTAATAAAAGACAGGATGAAAAATAAATGATATCATATTGTTTTTAATAAAATGCTATGTTAGCAGTACGTAATGTTACTTTGTCAGTTCTAAAATCGCAGGTCACCTCAGTGATTTTTTAAATTAGGCCAAATACATGGATTTTTTTAAAGAATCAGGATGACAAACGAGCACACAGTCCACCTGACGGTAAGTAGATGCTGTGGCCTACATTTATCCTCGATTAAGAATTAAGCAGATGCGTTGCACCCCTGAAGACTACGATGGAATGCCTCGATTCCAGTAAAAAGGATCTCCGATTATCTACACTCACCGTACAAAACACAGCTGCATTAAACTACTATTTTACGCTGGTATTCTGTGAGATAGTGGTCCTACCCCGGTTGAGCCGACCAATTCACGCTCAATCATAATAGAGCTGCAGCATAGCTCTACCGCGTTGAAGACGGAATGTCAAATACGCGCGATATTGCCCTGTCCTCTATTAAAGATTTCAAATTAGGAGACAATATCAATATTTGGGTCTGAATTAGAGGACGTCTGGCAACCCTCACCATGCGGCACAGCAAATTACTTCGGTATTCGCTGCCTCTCCACGAAATTTTCGAGTACACATGAACTTCATAACAGCCCTTCACAAGTCCACTGTTGAACATAGGTCTCCCCTAAGGAATGTCACACAGCACGATTCTGAACCACCGGCATCCATCAATAACCTGCATCTTTTACCAGGTCGTCACTCCATCTATTGAACTACCGACCTACACTTGGTTTACCGAGGCTGCCACTCGAGAACCTTTCTTCCCCATCGGTTCTCGATACTTCGAGCTATATGGCCTGACCATTGCCACTACAGCTTACTAATCCGTGGGGCTGTGTCGCTTACTCTGGTTCTACTATCGATATCCTCATTCCTAAGTCACGTCACTCTGAGAAACTCCGAGCATAGCTCGCTAAGCGACCTTGAGCTTCCTCATACGGCCAGCGGGAAGGACACAATCTTAACTTTGGTAAAATATTCAGGGCATTCTTTATAGTTGATATGTGTGCGTTTGTCTATTGCAGTGCCTACTTGGTGCGCGTGCGAGCACAAGTGATGTGCCGCGACGAGGGCACGGGCGGCTGGGTGGCGCTGGGCGGCGGCGGGCTGGCCGACGTCATGGTCGGCAAGCGCCGCCACCACCGCACCTCCGGTCAGTGCATACTTCTGAATCGATATATCAATCGATTTTTTATTTGAGAATACAGGTGTGGCGGCGCTGTCGTCGCGCCACAAGCGAAAATACATCGAAGCCTAAAACGCGCTATCAAGGTTCCGGAGTAAAAGCAGTATATACTGGATGTATGTATTTCCTTGTGCAATTTATGTATGTAAACTGCCTCCACGATACATGAGAAAATCCTAGTGTGAGGATAAGGTTTTAAAATAAAATCTACCTACGTAAAGAAGAACCTTACCCCACACTTAATAAATTGCACAAGGACAAACGTCCATATCTGGAACAATTACTTGTAGGCTTTACAAATACTTGTTCCGTGCAGGAGCATACGTAAATTTAATGAGTTGTTACTGGTCTGGAACGGAACTGGTATTAATGAAAAAACAAAAAAGGCTCTATCTTCTATTAAAATCCGGAAAAGCATCGCAGGAATCACATTTCACACATCACAACCAAACGCACGGCAAGTCTCCAAACCCTTCGTTGCCGACTTACCCCGCTTTTAAAACAAAAGGTTTGCTTCATAGTTCTTCATGCGTACAGCAAATGATTGTAATAAGTTGCCAGCATATGTCTTTCCATCCGATTACAATGTAGGTGTCTTCAAATCGAGAGTGTTGTCGAGGCTTTTGTTAGATTATTACTGTTTACCATCTTCGGCTACATCACCAGTTATCATCGGGTTCATCATTATTACTTTTAACAAAAAGTAAAAACAGAGTTCAAATTCTAAAAAAGAAGTTATTTATTTTTTACACTTAAATATTATAATATAAAGCGAAACACATCGAGCCCTAAATCGCGCTATCAAAGTTCCGAAGTAAACCAGTATATATAGAATAGCTCCGAACTACGCCGCTCAACGGGCTGAACACCTTGCCCAGCGGGAGATCTCTCACAATCTGCGAAGATGTGGTATAACATACATACAAAAAAAAACCACATACACTTGAATTGAGAAACTCCTCCTTTTTGAAGTCGGTTAAATAAATAATAATAATTGTATTAAATGCAGGCAGTGAAGGCAACGGCGACTCAACATCCACGTCGACGTCGGCACCAACCCACGAGTATTACATCCATGGAAAACGCATCAGCGATAACATGGTAAGGAACATACCAAATATCACTTATTCATTCATTACAACCCTTTACAAGGCCACTGCCGAACCCAGGCCTCCCCCAAGGTATGCCACAAAGCACGGTCCTGTATCAGCTGCGTCCTCCCTTAGACGGAAGACGCCCATGTCCAGCTGCGAACTTATAAAGACTACTTTTTTTTATATAGAAAAGGGGAGACAAATGGACACAGTACACCTGATGGTAGTGAGAGCTGATAATCATCCTCTCACCAGATGTCGCTAGTTGACACTGAGGTGAAGTTTTTTGTTACACAATTGCCCAAATATATGTGGTAATACGAGGGCGGCACTGAAAAATGCGGGAATCAAGGAAGTGACACAACATTACTATTTATAAATGTATTTATTGCTTTTCGAAGTATTCTCCGCGAAATTTGACACATTTTTCCATACGATGGAAGCAATAATTGAAGCAACCATTCCATTCGGAAGTTGGGGTCTCCAAAATGGCCGTTTTGTGGGCGTCACGGCTTTTTCATGTGATGAAAAGCTCTGTCCACGCAATTTATTCCATATTTTAGGGAAAGTATAGAAATCATTAGGGCTTAGGTCGGGGCTGTACGGCGGATGGTCTAATAATTCTATGTTTTCTTGCTCTAAAAACTCTTTTGTTCTGTGTGCGGTGTGAGAACTCGCATTGTCGTGATGGAGGATGATGCGGCGGTTGCAGTTCTCTTTACGGAGTTCAGAAACGACCTGTGGCAAACAAATGCTAGCATACCATTCTGCATTAACCGTTCTTTGTCCCTCAAGAGGAATAGTCGTAACATGGCCGGTTTTGGAGACAAACGTGGCCACCATTTTTTTTGCAACACTCCGTGAACGAATAATTTTTGTTGGCTTTAACTCATTTTCGAACACCCAAACTCGTGACTGGTTTTTTGTTTCGGGTTCGTACGCGTATATCCAGGATTCGTCACCTGATACGATGTTGTATACAGCATTTGAGGATCCTGCGTGGAATCTTTCGAGAGTTCTGACGCACCAAGTAACGCGAGCCGCTTTTTGCTCTTCACAGAGCGAATGCGGTATCAATCGGGAAACCAACTTTTTTACACCTAATTGTTCATGCAAGATTATTTGTATTTGACTCATGCCAATGTCTAAAGTTGCCTGAATTTCGCGGTATGTCACATGTCGATCTTCCTCAATCAGCTTACGCACAGCATCATCGTTTTCTTGGGTGACTGCAGTTTTTGGACGACCTTGACGGGGATCATCACTGAGCTTGACACGTCCACGTTGAAATTCAGCAAACCAGCGATAAATTGTGGTTTTGGTTGGGGCTTCATCACCAAATGCAGAAATCGTCCGGTCAACACACTGTTTTTGTGTTAAACCACTTCGAAAGTCATAATAAATCATCGCTCTTGAATTTTCTCGAGTCAATTCCATTTTCTCAACGACTAAACAAGTTTGATAAAACCTTGTGGCAAGACAGAGAATCTTTTTTTAAACAAATAAATGGTATTCGATTTTTAAAACCAACGAGTTTTAAATTAAAAAGATTTTAATATGACAGGAACAGTGGAAATATTCTATTCCCGATACTTTTAGTGCAGGCCTCGTAGTAATATGTGTCACACTCACTTTGACTTATAGTGATAGAGACACGAGACAATGGCATCTTAAAATTGAGTAGCGCTTGAGTACTTGGTCAAATGTCATTTAATTGAGAAGTTTTAAATAACAGTTTATTGTATGTAGTTCTAGAGTATTATATTAATACACAAAATAATGCCTCAGTGGTTTGCTCTTTAATTTTTTTAGTTTTTCCATTTTTATTTGTAAGATATACCTATGATTTTATTTATTTCTTTTTAATTAAATTAATCTATACAAATAAACAAAATTGAAGTGCCTGTTTGTAATGTCAAAATTACAGTTTTTTACTCAATGCATATGAAAATATATACGGTACTTATAAAAAAAATACAATTTAAAAAATTTTGTCTGTCTGTTTGTTCCGGCTAATCTCCGAAACGGCTGGACTGATTATGACGGGACTTTCACTGGCAGATAGCTGATGTCATAATAAGTAACTTAGGCTACTTTTATTTTAGAAAAAGAATTAGGGTTCCTCGCAAAAAAAATTAAAACCTTAACTTACACGCGGGCGATGTCGCGGAGAACAGTACTATATTACAATATACAATATAAAATATAACAAATGGTTCAGAAAGAAACATTAACCTTTACATTTTCCCAACAAATTAACTTCCCCGCTATGAAATCTGTCAAATATTACACCTCATTTTTAAATGGCATCGCTATGGTGACAGAAAAAGTCGTGGATACTGTGGCCCATAGACATCTACATTTAATCTCCATTACAATTTAAAATGCAGATCCGTTGTCACCCTTGAGGATTAAGATGGAAAACCTCGTTTCCAGTAAAAATCGTCTCTGACACTCACCATACCAAACATCACACCAGCAGTTAAGCTGCTATTTTATCATTCATGGTACGACCATAATAAAGGTGTTGCCTGGCTCTACCATGTATAAAAGTACCAGAAATCCCATTATAACTTCTTAGTGTTACACCTTGTTGTATTTCCAGGTGGTCCTTGAATGCACCATCAAGAAGGACTTCCAGTACAACAAGGTGATGCCAACCTTCCATCACTGGGTGACCGACGAGAAGCGTTTCGGACTGACTTTCCAAACGGCAGCCGATGCTCGAGCTTTCGACCGCGGCGTTCGGACCGCTATAGAGGAATTGTTGGACGGTAAGTTGATCTAATTATCACTCCAGCAGACAACAAGTGTATTAATTCCACTCCGACATGATAACTTCCGTAAATAAAGAAATATACTTTTTACGGATTTTATCGCGTTTAATTAACTTATTTTATATTTCCGGCAACCATGGTCACGGGGGACTGAGGTGACTGAAGTCTCGATGTCAGAGTTAACCCGGAGTACCTTCAGCTTTTTAATTATTAATTTTGGTCCGATCTACGCAGAATGAACTTACTGTGTCTTGAAGTCTTGCAGTGGTATGCTTGGGTTTAGTTTTAATTTTATGAATTATAGGATCCCAAGCAAGTGGTAATACCCAGCCTGCCTCTCTATTGAAATTAGGATGTTTTTTAATTTCAATAGCCTCACGTATCACAAACTGCACATCTGCAGTTTGTGATCATATCCTAGACGGCCCCCGCCATTACATTAGATTTGATAAACCACAAATTCTCGTGAAAGAACATCGATTCCTGCCAAGGTTGATACGTCAGGCTATTGAAATTAAAAAAACAACCTAAAACGTTGAGCGGACCATACCATTTCATTGTTTCACATGGTTCTTGATTTGTAACTTCTTATTGAAAGCTGTTATCCAAAAATACTCCAAGATTCTTATAAACTGCCACTATTAGAATACCATGTGACATTTATAATGACAATATTTTAATCCTTTCTCAGTTGGAGTCTGATCATTTTGTTAATAGATTTTGGTTAAATAGTTAAGTTTCTCATAAATTCAAAACTCGCCATCGAAAACCGAACATAATTTTTTTTAAATCGGCTGGATCGGATCTGATCGGATATTCAGGCATGTTTTCTTTTTTTTAAATAAAATTACCTCTAATTTCCATTCGTTATCTCGAAGAATAGTTGATTTTTGAATTGACTAAGTTTTCCGTTATCCTCGTACACGATCTGCGAGTTAGAAATTCGTGTAATGTTAGGGGAATATAAACTTTATCTCAATGTGCATAAACGTGAACTAATTTATCTAATGTGCTTTCTTTTGCCTTCCCTCTACCGTATACTGGATTCCTACACGGTGAGTAAAATTTTCTTTATTATTTAGTACCCTAAGTTCCATAAGTGTCGTAAAGAGTAGGCTATAAGAACTATCAGGAATAGCTTTTATTTACAGGATAGGGTGACAAACGAGCACACAGTCCATCTGATGACATCTACCCTCGTTTGCGAATAAAATGCAGATGCGTTGTCAGCCGTGAGGACTAAGATGGAATGCCTCTTTTCCAGTAAAATTGGTATCCGGTTCTCTACACTAACCAAACGAAACAGCAGCGTTAAGCTGCTATTTTACGCTGGTATTCTGTGAGAGATTTCTAAATGCATATGAAAGTATATACGGTACTTATAACAAAAACGCAATTTTTAATATTTTGTCTGTCTGTTTGTTCCGGCTAAACTCCGAAATGGCTGGACCGATTTTGACGGGGCTTTTACTGGCAGATAGCTGATGCTATAAGGAGTAACTCTAACAATTTTTATTTTAGAAAATTAATTAGGGTTCTGTGCAAAAAAATTTAAAGCCCATGAAATCCAATCGTAATAAATTTTTACACGCGGGCGAAGTGGCGGGGAACAGCTAGTATAGAATATGAATAGCGAGTAGAGATGAGGAAGACCATCTCATATGTAGTATTCAACCAAACCTAAAACATAATAATATAGTATAGATTCTCACGCCTGACACTCATAGCGCTAAGCAGAGACTGCAGTTGAAGTTTTTAAGGTCATTTTAAAAAAATACTAAAACTTACTTATAACTTATCCTGACTTCAGAATGTACAACTATTTTTTTTTAGTTCTTTCGAATTGGCTTTTTATTCTTATTAAAAAGTTATTTTTTGTCCTTTTTAGTAGACTAATCAACATCACATAATCACAATTTTGTTTTAATAGTGACATTAAAAACTTCATCCCCTATTTTGCCATCCTTAGGGGTGAAATTTTTCCTGTCAATTTAAATGGGACTACCCTTGAAATGTAATGTATTGTGTACGGTGCAACCGTGCATTTTAGTTTTTAACCGACTTAAAAAAGGAGGAGGTACTCAATTCGACTGTATGTGTGTTAAATCTATAACTTTTTCTAGGTGAACCGATTTCGATGATTCTTTTTTTATTTGAAAGCTGGTGCTTCACATGCGGTCCCATATAAATTTGATCAAGATCTGACCAATAGTTTTTGAGTTATCCTTAATAATTTATATTGAAGTCGGGGTTGTACTTTTTTAATTTTACCACTTGTGTAAGCGATTTATTTAAGACAACTTCTAATGCGTCATTTACATTATTTTTTGTGTTGTGCAGTTCACCTTTTCATCACGAACACGCGGCGGACGCGTTCTATGTCATTATCAATTTTGTATCAATATCATTATTCAGTTCAAATGAAATAAATAATTTTCTCTCTTATATCATCTATCATTTAAAGGTGTTCCCTATATGTTGAATAAACAAAGTATCATCAAAATGGGTTCACAATTCACGCAGATATCGTTTACACAATTCTACGGGACCAAACTTCAAAACATAGTCCAACACAATCCACAATACAGTTACACAATTCACACTGCTGGCAAAAAGCCCAATGTTCAAGGTACGAGGCCAAGCAATCCACCAACCAATTAAGTACAGTGAGGCGCTGCGCAAACGTGGACACTTTTTGTTACTGACACGGCACTGATGGATCAAAGTCACCATCACAAGCAACTGTAGTCGCTGTGTCCTATTTCCGGTCATTGGTAACAATTCCTTGTTTGTTGTGTTGATTACACGTTGACGTAGACGTCGTCGCCGTCAACATTTACAGGCCAATCAACCACGACAATGTCAGCGCCGTACAATTTGTTAGGAAATTTGCTTTGTGCTGCTTGTATCTTCAACTGACGACTTAAAGTTTCCAGTTACCTACACCGAATACTTTTTGATTGGCGGTCGGTATGTGCCGAGTGGAAGGAGGACACAAAAAGTATCTGCGTAAATATTGATTACATGAAAGTAAAATATTCATTGGTAGCTTGTATCCTACATACGACACAAAAGTGTCTACGTATGCGCAGCGCCTAGAAGTGCGTACTCAAATTATACTGGATTCTAACTTCAAATCAACTAGAAGCTTACGTATGTTAATTGTGAACTGTCAACTTAAGTATCATAAAAAGACGAATTACAATACTTTAAAAAAAAAGCTAAATCATGCACAACGATACATTTGCACTTGCGTTCTAATAAAAAAAAAACTTTGTCATAAATTTTATTCAATCGGACGAAGCCCGGTAACTGAATAGTTACAAAAAAAAAACAATGACACAACGTTAGAAATAAAAGTAAACTTCAAATAATGACTGCACGATCTATGGCAACAACGCTATTGTTTGAAGGAGCACAGATGTTTAATACGTTACCAAATGACAAAAAAAACTGCAATAACATTAATATGTTCAAGGTAAACTTAAGAAATGCGTACATACAGTGTTATGTGTAGTGTAATTCATGACTGTATCATTTCCATCATTCTAGAGGTACATTTCTACAGATATACATAAATTAACTCTCACGACTTTTACCCAGAGGGGTAGGCAGGGATGCACAATCTTAACACATCTCCCGCTTTTTTTCACATCCATATAATATCTATGCATACTCTTGGATTCAATTACATTAGTTCTCAAGGGTGACAACGCATCTGCATTTTGATTCTAAATTAAGGATAAACGTAGATATACATAGGCCACAGCATCCAATAACCATCAGGTGGTTAATGAAATTAGTTATCAATTATCTGTCTCTTTCTATTGTCATTTAGTAGAAAGAGAGAGAGAGAGAGAGCACCTTTAAGCTTACCTTAAATGGACGTCGATTTTTATGAGTATTTTTTTTATTACATAAGCTTTTTGGATCACTAACTCTGTATTTCATATAAAAAATATCTTTCCAGGTCTGGGTGGGGCGTGGCCGTCGCTTCACGCGTACAAAAAACATAATCCAGCGCCGAAAGATGACGATGAGGAAAACAACATCTTCGAAGTTTGTATACGTTTATTTGACATCATTTTATTTTATTTTAAGTTACCCCTGCTAATACACTGGCGCGACGCGGCTCAATTGCTTTATATAACTCGGAAATCAGACGAGTGTGCCAGTTGTAGGACTACCAGAATTATCATTACAGCCCTTTACAAGTACTTGTGCATTTCACAAAGCACGGTCCTGAGCCTCCTGCATCCATCGACTTCCTGCATGGAAGAATCTATGCATCTTACCAGGTCATCTCTCCATCTAGTGGGGGGTCGCCCTACACTTCGTTTACTCTTACGTATGAGGCTGCCACTCTTTCCCCATCGGATGTCGGATTTTCGAGTTATATAGCCGGCCCATTGTCATTTTAGTTTATCTGTTGGTCTATGTCGGATATGCTAGTTCTATTGCGGATATCTTCATTATGAAGTGTAATATGCAAAGAAACTTCGAGAAAACTTTTTTTATAGTTCGCTGCCGCTAGCAGTCTCAAATCCATATTTTTTCATACAATGAGGGTGTCACACGAGTACATAGCCTCTCTGATATGATTTAATCTGTTATGTCATAAAATAAAGAGTGTTAATTTCTTTTGTTTCATTTCATTAAAGGTATTAATTGAAGTTCTCATCCTAAAGAGCCAGAGAAATTATGTAATGGCTGTGTTAGAATATCCACTACCCCATATCGTTCCATGGGTGTTGTAAGAGGCGACAGAGGGAAACAAAGTAGAAGATGGGCAGCAGTGTTTTTCTAATAAGAAGACAACAACTAGAAAATAGGTTTTGAGTGACATTTAGGTAATGACAGGGTGTGGACTGCGAACTCAAAAGGTCGTGGGTTCGAATCCGTTATTCAACTAATGTCGTGAATCATTTAATATAAGCATTTTAAGCTTACCAGGAATGGTTAAAGAGAATATTAGTAAGCATTCTTGGTATTTTTATTTAAAAAAAAAAACAATTGTTAATTATGTGGGTCATGCTGCAGCTATATTAATTGTATAGTTGTAGCACGAATTGGTCGGCTCGACCGGGGATGGACCACGTTTTCTCAGAATATCAGCTCAAAATATTAGTTTAACGCTGCCGTGTTTTGTATGGTGAGTGTAGAGAACCTAGTTCTCACGGCTGACAACGTATCTGCAGTTTGATTCGCAAACGAGGATAGATGTAGATGTCTATGAGCCACAGCAAGCACTTACCATCAGGTGGACTGTGTGCTCGGTTGTCAACCCGCTTGGCAAGCGTGGTAGGTATATGTTGAGGCATATGTTTTTCCCTAAACGTGTGAGTATATGTACGCGGTGTGCGCGCAGTGCCTGAACCTGCCGTCGGAGTCGCGCTCCAGCTCGGACACGTCGAGCGGCGGCGCGCGCGCCGACATCTCGCAGACGCCCATCCTGTCCGCCATCACGCGCACGCGCCACCAGCCGCAGCATTCGCAGCGTCCGCAGCATTCGCTCGCAGGTGACCTGAGGTCTTTTTTACGTATTAGAGCCACGCTGCAGCTATATTATGGTTGTAGCACGAATAAATATGAGCGCCGAAAGTCAATTTGTTGGCAACGGCGTTGTCGGCGACGTGACCTTAATTTAAAGGAAGAAATAAAACAAAAATTTACGTATAATTAAAATTTATTTTAATTTCGATGTGACAAATTGAATTGACTAGATAAATTATAAAAGAGAAAACAAAATTAAGTCTGATATCCAGTAACATAGTTGTAAATCAATAGGAAATTAAGAACATAAAACCTGCTTTAATTACGACATTAATAAAAAAAATTAAATACTCAACAACAACAATCAACAGTATCTTTTCATCTTCAACTCAAAGTACTATCATATTAATATTACAACATATAAATATTATTCATATTAAAAACAATTATAATTCAAATTGTAAACACTATTTAAAACTAACGAATACATTAGATCATAAGTTCAGTCACTTAAAAGATGAATTACCAATTAAATTCAAATGTCGGTTTCTCGTTTGCAATGGCTATGGTTGCCATGAATAAATATTATTTGGTTTACCCTTAGGGGATTTAATCGAGACCGTTTATTACCTGCCCTGCAACAGAGAAAACTCTTTCGCTTGGGATACTTATCGCTAGTACAAACAATATTGCTCGAACTAAAATTGACAGCCATGAAAAAGAAATCTTTCTGTCTTTCCAGAACATCAGTACATCACCGTCGTAGGGCTGAACATCTTTGACTTGATCTAGCTGTACTAAAATACTTCCAGCATTCATTTTCAACCACGCTGTCTGTATCACTGGATGTACTGCTGTGCTTCTCAACCAAATACATCAAAAAATTTGATGGCGTAGGCGCAGAACTTGGTCCAGATGTTGCATCTCTTGCTAGGTCAACAACATCCTCCTCTTTCAAAATATTCTTTAAAAAAAATTGAAGAAAATGCTACCTTATTGGTGTCTTGACTTTCCTTGTAAATGTCGATTTCCTTAATTGATTGAAACCTACAATCCAATGAAGAAGCCGCCACAATAGTGTCTGTAACAGGAAAGCGATGGTCCAAACATTGCAACATATTATTTTTTAGTCCAGTGACTATGACAGGTTCACAGTCGTTATATTCTTCTAGCAACCTTCTAATTTCTGATTTAAAAACTAAATTAATAGTGGTTTGTGATTCAGAACTTAAACATTCCACTATCGTCTTGAATTTATTAAAGAACGATGTCAAACCACTAATTAAATTGTACTCGTTCTCATCTAGTAAAAGAGCACAGCGACCTATATCAATCAACGTCTCTAATGAGTTCGCGATTTGCATTGTGCCTGATGCTTGTTAGCATCATAAGCATACTGTGCCATCCCATTGGTGTACTCGTACTTTATAGTTGGAGGGCCGCTGGTTCCAGATCGTGTCGAAACCTCATCTAGGTCAAAATCATTCGATGAAGCTTCGTCATCCGAGTGGTTTATATTTACACCAATATCTTCAAAAGATGAGAGTAGATCACGTTGTTCTTTGCTGGCACCGGCTTATAGTTGTGGAGCTCTATACCTCAAATGCTTAACTATTTTCTTACATTTATTAATAAGGCAAAAGAACCGCATAAGTGTTCTGAATACCAACTACGGTGATCAGATTATGCAAAGCATGGCCCAGGCAAAGATGATTTTTCATATTCAATAAATCATCAGCTCTTTTCATATTACTGTCAGAGTCGGTCACAAGGACAATATCTTTTTGTGGAATCTGAAATGTCCGCAAAATACTTTGAATTTCGTCTCTAATCTTTCACCTGTATGTTTTCCAATAACTTGTTGGGTGGCTAGCGTGAATTTCAAAAGTTTCAATCTCATTAGAAATAAAATGTAAAGTGCAGGTTATATAATTACGACGTCTAAATTGGTTTGTCCACAAATTTGTTGTTAATGCACCAAATCATTTTGTTTTTTAATAATACTCTGTACATATGTTAACATACTGTTATATACATCTTCTAGCCCCTCTCGAGCAATGTTATGCCGTGAGGGTAGATCGTCATCAGCCACAATTATATTTTTTTTAATCAATCATGACTTCATCATTTATGCTGTCGAATGGCAATAGTGATCTGGCGAACCATAGTGCCAGATCGCGTGCTAACATCCACTTGTCTTTTTTTCCACCAGTTTCACCACTTTTTGTGACTGGTTTAGATTTTCCCTGTACGGAAAAAAAAGCCCTTAATGGGGGCTACTTTTTTCTATTTTGAGTATCTTCTAAGTTATGTTCGTCCTTTAAATGACGCAGTAAATATTTGTTGGCTATATTTTTACTTGTAGGCTTTGACGAGTGCTCTGAAACAAAATTAAAGAAATTTTATTTGTCAAGCTTCCTACAATACCTTAGAAAAAATGAAAAAAAAAACAATAAAAACGTAGTATACCAACCTCACGGAAATAAAGAGCAACATAATATAGTTGGTTCATAGCATAGGCAATTAAAAATGTTTCAACTACATTTTATAGTTAAAAAAAAAACAAATGTATGTTAAATAAAAATAAGACCGTATTAAAACATACAACATACCTTCTTACTTGGTCGCCCAACACTGTTCGTTTTTTTCCATCAATATTAATAACTAACTGACCAAAATATGTCCAACAAAAACTGTGTTTGTTTGCTGGTAACTTCACATCACGGAAATTGTAATGTCAGAGAGTTTCGTTTTATAAACTTCTACGTCTAGTGCCGCCATTTTGTCAACATTTAAGCAGACGTGCGCTCGATTTGATCAGCGTGTCAGGTTAAACTGAATGCCGCCGCTCGCGATCAGCGCGCCGGCGATATAATGAGATTATTAAAATAAAGTAGCACTAAAATTTTTATATACATTTTTTAAAACCGAATAGTGCCTTTTCGCGTGAAAACGCTAGCCACCATGCTGTTTAACTCGTGACGTCACTGCCCTAGAATTTTGCCGATTTTGCAAAGGAATAAGGTACTTTTGGATGTTTAATAGAGAGTTATATCACTGTTGTGTTGTGCCTGAGTGCAAAAATACGAGCATACGAACGCCGAGGAAGTTATGGATTCAATTGCCACCTGATTTAAATATGAGAAATGCTTGATTAAAACTGGCAAGAAGATACCCGAATACATTGTCTACAAAAACTAGACTATACTTCTGTGAAGATCATTTTGATGTAAGTTTGACTTATATTTAACTATCGTTTATACAAAACGAAACATCATGAGGTGAAAGGTATTAAAAGTCAAATTTTGTAATAGATTACGATATCCTAGATATTTTATCTAATGATTGCTAATGATTATAGTCATAGTTAAACATAACTATGTATTATTAAAATACACTATACTGCAATACCTGGTATTATGTTATTGTATAAACAAATGTTGGTAATAGGTACTTACATTGACGTTTATAACATTTCTTAACTCAGCAGAACAATAATCGGGATTGCATGCAAAATATTTTGCCAACGTCAATGTATTTATCTTTGTTATATTAGTACTTTCTGCTTTTATGGATCCGTCTTCCATGATTTCATTTCGATAAAATACAGAATAACAGTTAACCATTATTGTGATGATAACTTAAAAAATTTTGAAATAACAGAAGGCTAGAACTAGCTAATGTTAGTTTACTTAAGGCGCAGGTTGAGCAAAATGTCGCGCTAGTCGTTATTTGTGCGGTTTTTAGGAGCTATCTACTTTTTATTTAAAAGATATATTAACAAATAAAAAACACATTATATTTCTACATAATCTTGACACCATAAGAGCTATATCAAATTTTTTTTAAAGGAATAAATATTAATATAATCTCCTTACAACGTAACCACACAAATGTGAAATAATTATTGATAACATGCATCTTCTCGTAAAGTAAGTATTATTTTATTTTGCGATTTACACCAATGGATAGGCAATAGGGCTTCCATTCCGTAATTACGTAATTACGCAGTTACGTAATTACGCAAAAAAATTAAACTTTTGACAAGTCCGTAACTGAAGGGTTGAAATCCGTAATTACGTAAGTATAAGTCCTTATTATCATCATCATCATATCAGCCTATTTCTACCCACTACTGCTAGGTGAAGGGTTTTAATAATAAATAAAAATAATATATAAATCAATTTAGCGACTTATTACATACAACATCCTCTTTTTTAAACAGTATGACATGATAACCCAGGAGCCAACATTGAAACAGAACGAGCGGGTATTTCCACGTAGAGAATAAATTCAAGGCCCCATATGAAGCACCCCAAAAGAAAACTAAACTCACGGATTATTATGTAAGCGACTCTTCGATGGAGTTAAGAGTGACTAGAATGGCAGCATCGGATGGTATCCCGTTGAGCAAATTTTGTACTTCTGAAGACCTAAGGCATGTTTTCAAAAAATCCGGCTACGATCTACCGAAATCGTCAACAACTATAACCAGGATAGTTTTAGAGCTACATGATAATACAAAAAACGAACTGATATGTCTTTTAAAGGAAATGAAGTCCCAAAACAAAAGATTTACAATGACATTTGATGAGTGGACCTGTACCCGAAATAAAAGATATATGAATATAAATATCCACAGTAACGATGTCGAACCAGCTAATTACAAAAATTTGGGTCTGGTGAGAATAAAAGGTTCAATGCCAGCAGATGTAGGAACTCAGCTAATACAACAACATTTGAGCAACTTCGGACTTAGCCTCGAAGACATAGTTGCTTTTACAACAGACGGAGCCAGCGTAATGGTTAAAATGGGCAAAAATTTTGACGGCCACCATCAATTGTGTTTCGCCCACGGCATACAACTTGCGGTTCTCGATGTGCTATATAAGTCAAAGAACCAGTCAACGCCCAATCCCAACCAAAAGCAACAAGATAAAGAACTGGATTACGACTCTGAAGATTCTGAAGAAAACTATGGAGGATTTGATATCGAAGTACCAAGAATTCCAGAATCTGAATTTCT